TTAACTACGCTCATGTTTCCTATTTGTCTAGTCAACGCATCTATTTCCCCAGTATGAGACATATTTATAGAATATTCTTAATAAATACTGCACGAAGGAAATCGAAATATGATACTCGTAGCACTTACATATAGCACGCAGTGAAGAAAAGTATGAGAATACGCAAATCCATGAAGACTTGATTCCTTATCTGCAGTCTTATCCCCGCTGTCGTATTCCTTCTGGACAAGGTATTCCTCTTCTCTTGAAATGTAGACAGGATCCAGGCCTCAGTCCGATTTATTCGAAGGGATCAGCGTATTAGAATCCCACCGCTGCCACCAAATTTTTGTTGTGACGTTCTGGTAACGTCAATCTGTTGGTTCCGTGAGGCAGGCTTTTCCAACAGTTTTCCGAGTTCGTCAGAACGTCTTAGTTGTGAACGTCCTAGTAGTTCTTTTTCTTGCGGTTAAGGGGGTAAAACCCCAGGATAATTAACTGCTTTGAATTGGGTTTTCTTTATTGATGATGATTAAAGAAATATACTTTTGTTTAAACTTAAACTTAAATTTAAACACTTTATTCTGACTTGAATTGCTCTAGCAGTTTACAGTACGAATAAGAATCTGAGTGGGTTTTAAGTCCAGAGTGAATCTGAACTGACTGACTGACTGATCTAAAACTGAGCAAGAATGAGGTTGAACAGAGCTCTTGTTCCGTTGTTGGAAGAGTTTTTATACTCTTTTAAAATTGAATAGTAGGGGTAATTTATGATGGAGTTTTAAGAACAAATTCTTTAGCTATGAAACGGATTTTTGCGAACTTCTTGGGTGGTCCTTAAAAGAAAGTTTTTCTAAGAATACATATTAGTTGGTTCTCTGAATGCATTGCTTGCAAGGTCGTGTCTTACATAAATTACGATAAATGACCCTTTCCAAAGAATTACAATAACTATTTGATTATTTAAAATATTGGTCATTTATCATGATTTTTACATAAATAGATTCTCTCTAATCTTTGGACATGTTTTACAATATATTTATATAAAAGAAGCTTATATTTAAAAGGACTTCCTTATATCGGTCCTTGTCTTTCCTAAGTATTACACATAAGTCTATCTCGCTCGTATAGATGATTCATATACATATATATACAGTGATGGGAAAAAGATCCGGAACGGCTGGATAATTTGAAAAATACGCATCACAGAGGAAAATGACCTAGACAAAAGTTGTAGGATTTTTCCCGGGCAATCCGACGGTGACCTTAGATTTGACCTTGGATAGTCATCTGAAGGTCACATAAAGATTACCTTCAATTTCTTAAATGGAACCCCCTATTTTTCATTGCATATTCTCGTAGCTTATCTCGAGAGCTTTCCAAAACACTATAATTAAGTACCTTTTTATTAAGTACTCTTTGAGTTATAAGGCTTGAAATAATTTCTTAATTTTACATAAACCATAAAATATCTAGTAAACCATTCATTTTTCGATTATCTTACCTTCATACTTTTATGTACAAAATAATGAGAGGAATCAATTGGTGTAAAGAAAACACATAGTTGTTTCTAAGAAAAAATATGTAATTTGCAATTAACAATTCCATATTTTTTCTTAAAAACAACTGTATGTTTTCTTTACACCAATTGATTCCTCTCATTATTTTGTACATAAAAGTATGAAGGTAAAATAATCGAAAAATAAATGGTTTACTAGATATTTTATGGTTTATGTAAAATTAAGAAATTATTTCAAGCCTTATAACTCAAAAAGTACTTAATAAAAAGGTACTTAATTATAGTGTTTTGGAAAGCTCTCGAGATAAGCTACAAGAATATGCAATGAAAAATAGGGGGTTCCATTTAAGAAATTGAAGGTAATCTTTATATGACCTTCAAATGACTATCCAAGGTCAAATCTAAGGTCACCGTCGGATTGCCTGGGAAAAATCTTACAACTTTTGTCTAGGTCATTTTCCTCTGTGATGCGTATTTTTCAAATTATCCAGCCGTTCCGGAACTTTTTCCCATCACTGTATATAGATATATATATATATATATATATATCTCTCTCAGATTAATATTTTATTATAGGTGACGTATAAGCGTGTCTCTCTTAGTTTCATGTTAGTTTGTGCTTGTAGCTTATTGGATGGAGGATAGTGAAAAAAGAAAAAAAAATTTCTCCTAGATCTAAGGATCTATGGATCGCCGGACGTGACAATATATATATATATATATATATATATATATATATATATATATATATATATATATTTTGTAACGTAGCGCGTCCATCCACCCCGAGATTTTTACGGGGCGCGGACCGAGCGGCCGCACCAGAATCAACCTCGAGAGAGCGTTATCGAAAATCCCCGAAGAAACGAGCGCTATTGTTATTTTGTAACGATTTTTATTAATTGTAACGATTTTTTTTGTTTGTCATAAACGGCAACGGGCACCTCGCCGGAGAAGATCCGGAGGACCGGAAGCACATCAAGGAAGATTGCGTCAAGACGCTCGTCGACAGTGAACGGAGGATAGAGTAGCGCTTGGAAAATACTTAGCCAAGGATGATACCGGGGGAATTCGCCCGCGTCCCGGGGACGGAAGTCCGATCGACGCTACCCTCCGAGGAGAACAAACGACAGCGGAGTCTCCAACGGGTCCTTGAAAATGGGCCCGTGTCAGCAAACAATTTAAATCAAATTAATTGCGCACGAAGCGCTAAAGCGCCGCGGATCTCGCGAGGCACTAGGACCTCTTGCGTGCCGTGCCCTGATTGGCCGCGGGGCTGCGCACCCTACTAAGCGGTCATTGACGCCGCTATCGACCCCGGGCCACGAGATCCCAGGTCAATGACCGCTTAGTGAGGTGCGCAGCCCCGCGGCCAATCAGGATACGGCACGCGAGAGGTCCTAGCGCCTCGCGAGATCCGCGGCGCTTTTAGCGCTTCGCGCGCAATTAATTCGATTTAAATTATGTAGTGGCTGCCGCGGGCCCCCGTACAAGAGCCCGTTGGAGACTTCGCTGTCGTTGTTCTCCTCGGAGGGTAGCGTTGATCGGACTTCCGTTCCCCACCCTGGGACGCGGACGAATTCCCCCGGTATCGTCCTATCTAGCGCTATTAACTCCTCCGTTAACTGTCGACAAGCGTCTTGCGGCAATCTTCCTGGATGCACTTCCGGTCTTCCGGATCTTCTCCGGCGAGGTGCCCGTTGTTGTTTATTACAAACAAAGAAACATATCGATATAATTAATAAAAATTCTTACAAAATACGATATCGCTCGTCTCTCCGGGGATTTTTAGATAACGCTCTCTCGAGGTTGATTCTGGCGCGGCCGCTCGGCCTGCGCCCCGTAAAATCTCGGGGCGGATGGACGCTCTAAAGGACGGCAACGTCACACCAAATATAATTAAAAAACTCATTTATTTCGACATCAAAAGCAAAAAATACATTAATCAAATTATTTGCCCTCGTTAACTATACATTTTTCCCATTTTTCTGGCAATAAGTAGATTCCGCGGTGATAGAACGATTGGTCTTTTGAAGCAATCCATTCATCTATCCATCCTCGTAATTTTTGAAGTGTGTATCCACCAAGCCGTGTTACATCGATTAGAACAAGTAATAATCTAAAGGAGCAAGGTCTGGTGAATACGCTGGGTGCGGGAGAACTTCCCACTCGAGCTGCATCAGTGTTTCCTTGACGGATTTTGCAACGTGTCGAGCGTTGTCGTGCAAAAGCATAACTTTGCATCGATTGCTGGCTACTGCTGGTCTTTTTTCCATCAATGCTTCATTCAGATGGTTCCATCGTAATTGATATCGATCCCCCGTGATACTTTCGTTCGGTTCATAGAGCTTATACTAATGGAGAGGCCTTGCCTATATCTTAACCATAGGCAAGCCCGCGCAAGGAGGATCAATAGAGAGGTGAATATATTCTGTCCATTGAAATATATACCATACTGGAAGGCGCACAGGCTACCCCCTCCATTCGACAAAACGGTCAGACAAGGCAGTGACTCGGTACTGGATTTCTCTTTCTATCTCGTCTACTCTCTTAGCTGAAAACATTCGCCTTGCGCACACATATATACATATAGGACAATTTATACATACATGTTATATATTAACAATTTTTATTAAACAATATACATTGTTTTTATTAAATAATTTTATAATGTAAAAATAAATTTTAATATATAAATTTTATAATTATCCAACAATTTCATTTTAAAGCATAAAATTTTCTTTTTATGAAGGCGAATGTTTGTAGAACTAATAGTAGCTGTGAACATGTGACCGAGACTGTTGGTTAGAGAGAGAGATCCGGGTCCGAACAGCTATCTCCATCTGACCGGTCGAGAACAAAGGCGTGCTCATTCCAGTATGGTATATATTTCAATGATTCTGTCTCAACTGTGGCTCCCCCCTCCGTGTCCAGCACGTAAGAGGAGAAGCACACAATTACGAGTTGGGAAAAATAACCTAAAACCTATATGATTTTTTAATTGTTTTGATACTGCTGATTTGTTACTGCTTTTTTTAACATGGTAATGAAATGCTATATTTGTAAAAGACAATATGATAAAAATAGTGCAATATCGTTTCATGCGTAAGTATACTAATAAAGTAATAAAATACATCTAAAATATTATAAGTAAATAAATAAATTATAATAGATGTGAAATGAATATAAATTTATGTTGTTTAGATTTCCAAAGGCAACAAACTTTCGAATAGCTTGGGAAATAGCGTGTAAGTTACAGCAACCTGTATCTAAAACAGCTCGTATATGTTCTGAACATTTTACAATAAATTGTTTTATACCAAAAAGAGATTATGGTATAAAATTATTAAAACCATCAGCGATACCATGAATATTTTCATGAAATCAGGACAATTTAACAACAAATAACAAGTAAGATTTAAGAAAATTATACATAATGAAATATACATAATATGTTCAAAAATGATATTATAATAAAATTTTACTTATAACACAGTGTCGACCAAACTTATAGTCAACATATTAATGTGGTTTCTACACAGAATCAAGATTGCACACATGAAATTGTATCTTCTTCATGGTATGTTTATGTAATTTTTTTATAATTAATCCATAAGAATCACTATTATATTTATCTAATAATACCATTTATTGCATAAATTATTTTAGTGAACTAACCTTTCCATGTAATGAAAGTAATTGATCAAGAACGCCATCACCAAGAACATCCACCAAGGACACCAATACAGAAGATAATTTATCTTTATCAGAAACATCATCAAAGCGGTATGTTTTGTATTTTTGAAATTTAATTAAATGTGTTTGCTAAAAAAATTATATGTTATGTTTGTAAATTTTATAGACAATTAGAAGATGCACAGATGCCCAACATTCCTAATAAAATATGGCGTCCTGCGAGAATAGGAGATCTCACAGCAGTACATTTTTCTACACCTCGAAGAACTATGCGGAATATACGATTAGTACAAGAAAAAACTAATGAGCAAGCAAAGAAAATAAAGATATTACAAGACAAAAATAGACGATTGCTTAAAAAAGTTTCATCATTACAGGATTTGATCTTACATCTGAAACAGAAGAATCTCATTTCTGAAAATGCAGCTCATGGATTAACGGTACATTAAGATTGATCTATTTTATTATAAATTTGTACATTTTTTTACATTATGAACTTAAATCAGTGGCATACATTAATATTATTTCATAATGAATAAACATAAAATAAATAATTTAAAAACTTAATAAAATGTATTGTTTATTTAATTCAATCTTCCTAACAGTTTTATTATTTTTTAAATATTCTTATTTTTTCTTTAATACAAAAAAATTTAAATAGATGTTGCAGCAAAGAAATTTTTACAAAAAAATAAATACAAAGAAATAAAATTAAACAAGGTACCAGATCACTTAGTTACGGACCTATGGCCACAGTTGAGACAGAAAAATGTATCCCTCTCTGTCGATCCTTCTTGCGCGCGGCATGGCCCCTCCATTAGTATAAGCTCTATGGTTCGGTCTGAGTAGCTCGTAATAAATGACGCCTTGCATATCCCACCAAATGCAGAGCATTGCTTTGTGGCCATGGATATTTCGCTTTGGTGTGGATGTTAATGATTGACCGGGATCCACCCATGACTTTTTGCGTTTGGGATTGTTAAAATAGATCCACTTTTCATCGCCAGTCACAATGCGCCATAAAAAAACTTTTTTTTCTGCCTGGCGAGCAGAGAAACAGATGTTTAAGCGATTTGCAATGGCATTTTCGGTTAATTCGTGTGGTACTCATTTTCCTTCCTTTTGAATTTTTCCCATTGCATGTAGACGTTTGGAAACAGCCATCAGAGTAACATTTAATACTGTAGGCAATTCTTGGAGCGTTTGAGCTGAGTTTTCGTCCAATAATGCTTGCAATTCGATGTCTTCAAATTTTTTCGGTTGACCTAAGCGTTGTTTATCATTCACATCATAATCACCACTCTTAAATCGCTGAAACCATTCTTGGCGTGTTCTTTCCGATGGAGCACAATCGCTTCGACAAACAATTTATGAGCTGCAATTGCAGTTTTTTTCAAATCAAAATAATGAAGCAGCACATGTCGAAAAAACAACTTATCACGTTCCATATTTAATCAAAAGAAGAAAATAATACTGTTCGCTTAAATTAATCTTTTCGCACTGAATTTTTTTAACAAATGTCTAACCTCTAAAATGCAAATATCAATTCAATCAGCATTCAGATATCAGAGTAAATTACACCTACAATTAATGCCATCTAAATGTGAACCGCGGAAACTAAGTTTATTACCTAATAATAATTGCCTTGCCTTGACGCAGAATAAAATAATAAGTTATAAAGGTACAGTTTCATTGACGCTAAAAAGTAGCGTCAACCATTGGTTAAACAATGAAGCAACTACTTACTTCTTTGTTCAACCAATGGTTGACGCTACTTTTTAGCATCAATGAAATTGCACCTTAACAGCTTTTACGCTAGAGTAAGAGGAAGGAATACTATTAGCGACGTGCTAGTGCTTGACAGTATAACTATTTATTTAATCTTCGTTATCTTGTTTCAGGAAATGTGATGAATGCAAGGGAGGTGAATATTATTTCACGAATATTGAATATGCGAGAATGAAATAAGACATAAAAGAATCTGATACTTACCACTCAGATGTCGATCTCTTTCGTCTAAACAAGGTCTGAATTTCTCCAAAAATTGACACAGTAAACATTCACAATTATAATTCTTTTATTTGAATTTTACCGAATGATATTGGGATCTGACATGGGGGCGGAGCCTATATGCATACGTCAACATGGCGCCGAGAAGCCCATGCTTAATATAATGTTGTTATGAAACAATGTGATATTTTATTGATTATGTTAATTAGTATACAAAGCATTTGTCATTGGGCTAGTACAAATCCAGCCCAACGAAAATTCGTTGAGAGTGAAAGGATATTTCAAGCAGGGTATATAATTAAATGCGGTAAAAATATACAAAACTGCAAGAGTGATGTGGTTAGCTTTACTGCTTTATCTGTATTTAAACTTTTAAAATGCGGAGAAAATATCCATAATAATAATTCATTAATCCATAATAATAATTCATTAATTAATAAAATAGCAGTACAATTCTATGCAAACAGTGGGCTTCTACTGCTTTTATTTCTCGCCACCAGATGACATGACTACGGATGTCAGATAGCAGATTGATACAAAGTAATAGATTTAGTTATAATGATTAACGAATAATAAAGAATATAAGAGTAATAGCGACGAACTGACAAAAACGATTAACAGCGAGTCTTTTCTACTGACTAATTATTAATGAGCTCTCGCGCCTAAAATCCGGGGTTTATATACTGGTAATTCCTTTGTTCCTTGCATGATCTTTAACTGTAGGAATCCTCGAGTAAGGTGATCTCTTCATCGGACCACGTCGTTCTCGGAAGCACCACCGAATTATTTATCAATTGTTTTGACATAGATACCTCTTTCATAGAAGCACGGCAGTGATCAAAGAGTAGAACGTGAATTTCATCGGAGGTGTCGGTTGACATCAATGCTCGATATATTTATGACTTCCTCTTATGACCATCTCGCGCGTCAAAACTATGCGCTCTTAATTTTAATATTAATATCTACCGCTAGCGGTATTAGGATTACAAAATCATTTTATATGTAGATGTATAACTTCTCTTATATTTTAGAAAAGATTAGAGATGTATGGCTCAATTTAGTAAGAATAATCGAGTTTAAGTTACAGCGTATAAAGGAAGTTATTTCCACTGGTCATGATAATAAATTTTAAATAAAGCATTTCAAAGGATTAAAATATATTTGTAGTTATTCATTTTTAAAATTAATCCAACAATTCCATTGAAATACCTTATTTGTTATTACCTAATCTAAATTATTTATTTCCGTCGCATTGTTTAAAGTCTAAATTTAAATTTAGCGTATATGAGAGCGTATATAAAGTCCTTATTATATATTAATTAAGGGGGTACATAGTTAATTAGCAGGCTAAATAACCGTAAAGAATAGGAACGATAAGCAATTATTATAATCAATATTTTAAGTATTGAAATTCGTATATGCATATATTAGAATTAAAATTAATGGTAATATAATTAATAATAGTGAGTAAAATTGAATTATAAGAAATAAAATTGAATATTCGTTCTTATTCCATGGATATAGTAAAGGAACAAGATGGGTAAGCGAATAGCAACTAAATCTAGTAATTTTAAGATGGCGGGACGTCACAATAGTAAATCTAAAGGTGCAATTTCATTGACGCTAAAAAGTAGCGTCAACCATTGGTTGAACAATGAAGCAACTACTTACTTCTTTATTCAACCAATGGTTGACGCTACTTTTTCGCGTCAATGAAAAGGCCGCTTAAAGGCATGAGAGCGTCTGAGCGTCGAGCGTTAAAGCGTCGAAAAGTGTGACATGCGCAGTGTGCCTATGCCAATGTTTCATGCATTCATGATTAAAAATAGTTTTTATTGATTTTCAACGTGCACACTCCACACGTTATATCCTATACAAAGAATACATTGTAATAAATAATATTCATGTTGTAATAATATATGTTTAGAAAACATATATTTATGCCAATTATTCCTTCTATGTTTGGTTATGTTGTAATACGCTCCTAATCGCGCAATTCTATAATATATATTGTATAATAATATCTATTATACAGGGTCTACCAAAAGTGTGGAAACCCCTAAATATCTCGGAAAATATACGTTTTACAGAAAAGTGTTTCCAACAAAAGTTGTAGGGTTTAAGAAGATCTATATACTGATTCTATCAGTTTGACCTTGGATGGCGTCGTCAAGGTCAGGTCAAGGTCACATTGACTTTTTTAAATGACACCCCCTACATTTGATTGCATATTCTTATAGCTTAATTCAAGAGCTTTCCAAAACACTATAATAATGTTCATTTTTATTAAGTACTTTGCGAGTTATGAGGGTTGAATGATAGAGTAGCGCCGGTATTAACATTATCCAAGGTGTACTACATGGAGGTTACTCGCTCGGATTTGCATCTGTTGTGTGTGTGATCCAGCTAACTAAGGCAAGATCGGTCGTGGATCCAGTCAGCAAAAGCAAAGACCCAACCAAATTACAATCGAGCATTTAAAGACCTGGAAAGCAATCGACATAGTAAACAGTAAATAAATTTGTGGATGCTCATTTATCATAATAATTGTTCGAAATGTGTGCGTGTGCGTGCGTGCGGTGCGTGTATACAGAGATCAGGTTAGGTTGCACCAAACGATTGCAAATGTGTTTCAATGTGTTAAAGTAAATGCTGAAAGTGGCTGCCATTTACTTCCTGACAATATGCTAATCTTTGGTAGAATGTAGAAATGACTTTACGATTCGTTTCAAAAGGTATCAAAGCCATTTCATCCCTTATTCGCTGTATCAATTCGTGAATGGTTTTAGGTTTTGTTCTGTAAACCTTACTCTTCAGATATCCCCATAGATAATAATCAAGAGGAGTTAGATCTGGTGACCGAGGTGGCCAATCCTCTCCTCCCTCATTTCCGTTCCTTCTTCCTATCCACCGTAGCGGAAAAGTCTCATTTAAAATACGACGTGGTCCTGCACCAAAATGAGCAGGAGCTCCATCATGCTGAAACCATATTTCTTGGAAATTATTTGGAAAAGTATTCTGTATGGCTGGAATTATTTGATCAACAAGTAATCTCTCATACCTTTGAGCGTTCAAATATTCTTCAAAAAAAAACGGCCCTATTAAATAGCCATCTATTATTCCGCACCATACATTTATTTTTTGTGGATGTTGTGTGTGAGTTTCCCGCACCCAATTCGGATTCTCATCTGACCAGAAACGAAAATTTTGATTATTAACTTCTCCCGTTAAGGTAAAAGTTGCCTCGTCTGTGAAAACAATTTGATAAGGGAAGATGGGCCGGACATCTATTAGTGCCATCATTCTTTCACAGAAATGTATACGACGCTCCTCATCTCCGTTTTGCAATTCTTGAACGTATTGCAATTTATATGGATGGAACTTGTTCTTCTTTAAAATTCTCCAAACCGACATGGGAGCAATATCGTGAGTTTGAGCGACTCTCTGAACACTAGAATTGGGATCTTCAATAAATGTCTGCAGAACATCAAGTTGTTTTTCTTCGTTGGTTGCAGACAATGGTCTTCCTGACTTAGAGCGATTTCTTACGCTACCAGTTTGTCTAAAACGTTCTATTGTTTTTAACACAGTGGACTTATTAATTCGACGGTTCGGATACGTGTCATTAAATAATCGAACGACATCAGAGAACGATCTTTCGTTATCACCCCATCCACGCATCATGAGGATAGTGATTCTTTCACGTTCCGACAAGTCGCCAGCCATTTTTAAAACGTTTAATTTTAATTAATCGTACGTTGTATTTGGACGATAACAATTAATTTCTGCTTGCTCAAAGCTGAAGTTAGAAGGTGCTCGTTCTTTGATAGCTTTATACATTCTTAGTTGAATTTTAAATGCGAGTTAGACTGCATGTAGTGCGTCACATAGCGGTAAATGAAGGAACTAACGAGACGTTTCATACACGTTTTATGGAGCAATTTTTTGGCAATTTGACTTCAGCGAAATATGAGGATATGTTGAGGAATCGATCTTGCCTTAGTTAGCTGGATCACACACACAACAGATGCAAATCCGAGCGAGTAACCTCCATGTAGTACACCTTGGATAATGTTAATACCGGCGCTACTCTATCATTCAACCCTCATAACTCGCAAAGTACTTAATAAAAATGAACATTATTATAGTGTTTTGGAAAGCTCTTGAATTAAGCTATAAGATTATGCAATCAAATGTAGGGGGTGTCATTTAAAAAAGTCAATGTGACCTTGACCTGACCTTGACGACGCCATCCAAGGTCAAACTGATAGAATCAGTATATAGATCTTCTTAAACCCTACAACTTTTGTTGGAAACACTTTTCTGTAAAACGTATATTTTCCGAGATATTTAGGGGTTTCCACACTTTTGGTAGACCCTGTATATACTAGACTGCTAATGATGTGTGAAGGCTGACCTTGATTCCCTAGACGTACCAGTACATAATGTATATCCATTGAAATATATACCATACTGGAACAAGCACGCCTTTGTTCTCGACCGGTCAGATGGAGACAGCTGTTCGGACCCGGATCTCTCTATCTAACTAACAGTCTCGGTCACGTGTTCACAGCTATTATTAGTTCTACAAACATTCGCCTTCATAAAAAGAAAATTTTATGCTTTAAAATGAAATTGTTGGATAATTATAAAATTTATGTTGAAATTTATTTTTAATTATAAAATTATTTAATAAAAACAATGTATATTGTTTAATAAAAATTGTTAATATAACAAATTGTCCTATATGTATATATGTGTGCGCAAGGCGAATGTTTTCAGCTAAGAGAGTAGACGAGATAGAAAGAGAAATCCGGTACCGAGTCACTGCCTTGTCTGACCGTTTTGTCGAATGGAGGGGGTAGCCTGTGCGCCTTCCAGTATGGTATATATTTCAATGTGTATATCTTATACATAACTGAATAACCGATTGGAATGTGTCGTCTGCTATGTACATATATCAATCGTTAAGTGAAATATTATTGTATTATAATTTGTCAACATTTTTCTAATGTTTATATTTAAAAAATGATAATAATATAAAAAATATTATTAATATTAGATTATTTTATATAAAAATGCACTTGAGGTTAGGTTAGATTATATCATTTTTTTTAGTTTTAGTTTTCATAAAAAACGTTGTGCACAACAATCAGCACATGTTTTTAAAAATGTTATAATAATTAACACATAAAAATGTTATAATAATTAATAGAATATTTTCAAGTTCGAATTAATATAATATTAATACAATATATTAAAAGAAATGTATACCACATCCTTTCTTATATATATTTGTGCATCCTTGCACCACGCATCTTATTGTCATTATTATGGATATATATATATATATATATATATATATATATATATATATATATCCATATATACCTATGTATGCACTTCAATTTATTTTGCCCGTTTAATTTATACATACATAAACGGAACAACGACGATATATAGTATATATATATCACATATCTCACTCAGTAATCCATAGTCGTAGGACTACAAAATATTAGTCGCATTCCAATCGGTAACTCAGTCTGCCGCCTTTAGGTGCCTACGTATACATACTTTCGGGGTACACGCTAGGTGGGGAATATATAACGAGCCTAGCAGTCTAGTGTATTATAGAAGTCTGTGGATTAGACACAGCCAATCATATCGACCGATGCCTAGGATAATCAGCCATAGACATATGAAACTACAGACAGAGCCTTTTCACGAGGGGTATTGATAATTGCGGCAAGAGGGGCACTCACTTGAAGTTGACTATTTTCGTAGTGACTCGGATATGTTCGGTTGTTCGTGACTACTAAGTGATTCTCAATAGATTATTTATTTTTTTTAGCTGAATTGGCTATACTAATTTAGAAGTTATTTTCTTTTTCCAATGTGGAGGAAAAAAATAAACTTTAAATTAGTGCAGCTAGTTAAGTTGAAAAGAATAGATCTAATCTGTTATTCATAAAAATGTTTAAAATTAATATTAAATATTTTGTAATACTTGCTTTAAAAAATTCGAAACCACTGACACACTCTTGCATTCTAAATATTTGACTTTTTTTTTATTAAACAAATGTATTATTTATTTAACACATTAATATATGTAACAAATTATATATTTAATATTATTTTATATTATTTTTAATATTGTATTGTTCTAAATATATATATGTCAAAGGAATGTGTATTACTGTCACACATTCTCACTAACAATTAATTTAAATTTTTATAAAATAGGCAAATAAAATATATGTTTATATTAATATTTCTTTTTATTGACCTTTAAACAATGCATACTTGCATCCAAATATTGTAATATACTCTCACTCTCTTCTTCAGTTAGTAGTTTCCGCTTCTGCACATCCTTTAATACATTTTTTAGTGTAAGCAACTTCTTCTGTATTTTTTTTTGTTCATATTGACTTGTAGATAACCTTCTTTTTAAAGTTTTAATTTTATTGGTGTACACCTTTCGAATTCCAGTTTTTATTGGTGAGTTTATAATTCGGTCTGGAGATATACTGGTGGAACGATGTATTTGATTAATGTTACATGAATGTGTACTCATTATATTATCTGATTCCATATTTGTTTCAATATTTTTGTCTGTAATAGAATGTAATACAATTATTATAGTATTAATATTATTAATTTACTAACATAAGCAGATACGTTCATTTGTACTAACCAGCAACGTTATTATTTTTTTCAATAGTAGTGTTTTCTTGAATAGTGTTTTGATGATGTAAATCAATTTGAATTGCAGGCTGAATTTCCGTTTCGAGTAACTAAAAAGAAATTTATTAGTTGTTATATCTTACAATAAATATATTTAATAATTAAAATATTGATGTAATATATGTATATATACATACATATGGAACAGCATCTTTTTTTAACTTGCGATTTGTATGATTTGGTTCATAATCCGTATTTTTAAAATGAGCAGAACAAATTGCGGCTGATTTTACTGGTTCATAATTTTCTAAGAGTAAAGCTTTAAGCCATTTCTTGCGTCTCTCCAGATTTTTGGGAAATCTAAAATATATAATATTGTTTATAAGTACATTAAAATATTAACTAATACAAATATTACAAATTTTTAATTAACATAATCTATATTTAAAATATTTTACATACAAATGAAATGAAATTTTCCGGTTTAAAGCACTTTCCACTTCTAATTGTTCAACATTTTTTTTTGTGCATCGATTTTTGCACTTGAACACAACGTAAAAGCTCATTTTTTTGCAATATATTATACACTCTTAAGTATCCACAAATCCACAGGTATCCACTAACCTTTCACATATCTATACCACTAACAAACACAATATACATATGGCAGCCGCAGTTTGTAAGCCGAATATTGTCGAGTCTTAGCGGAATGAACCGATGTCAAGTAAGTGCCCTCCCCGCCCGACAAACAGATCCCCCTTGCCCATAATAACAGCTCATACTCGGTCTATACTTTCATATGTCTATGTAACCAGCACGATCAAGCACAATTAGCCAATCAAAGCCAGTTGTACTGTGTCTAATCGGAGGTGTCTCAAACTGAAAATACATTTAGTGGAAAATCACTAGAAAAAGTAAATAGACTAAATTAAATTAAATTGGATCTTTAATTATACTACAGTTAACTACAAGTAAACGACTTAACTCTTGAACACTAGTAGATCGTATACGTAGTACGCTCTAAGAGGGAGGGACATAATATATTCCTTAGTAGTAATAGTATTATTATTAGGAACAATAATATTAACTTACATCCTAGAGCATCTCCCTAGAGGAACTAGGGCAATCTTATAAGTATAAGAGTTGGGATTATCAGTTCCTAACCCCTTCACTTTATAAACGCTCATTTTTCGATTGAAAACTTTAACTGAGGTTACTCTGCAGCGTTCTATCTTGATATCTGTTGTCCTGCAGGATTTTAGGAAGTGCATTTGCACTTCTGGGATTCCCTCCTCTGATTAAAGCTGTATAGTTGATGTTTGTAGGGAGAAGGGCCCTGGATCCTTTGGGCCTACTGGCGTCTTCAATTCCTCTGATTTCGCTGAATCGAACATAGGACCCTTCAATACGTGGAATTTGCGTATGTAGCATCTTATCACATCGTTTTAGCACTACATCCGCTGAGGTGAGGCGCATCAATTGATCCTTTGGTAGTTCTACATTATAGATCTGAATCTTTTTGCCTCGAAAATAACATTCTGAGGCCTTTACTGGATTCGATTTTGATGATATATCTGCGCTCTAAAATGAGAACATTATTAATTTGGCCTAAGGCCCGGTTCCACAATCCAATTAATCCGAGTTTAAGTAGTGAATGGACCAATCAGGACCCAGTTTAACGTATTAAACTCGGATTAACTCGAGTTGTGGAATCGGGCCTTAGACCTTACTTTCTGCCTAGATATATAGTTACAGCATTTAGTCATTGTGTAGCAAATAGGATGGGATAGAGAGTATTTAACCGCCGTAGAGTTAGCAGAGGAATTAAATATTTTCGAATTATTCTTTATTAGATAATTTGGGAATCGTTTGGGGAAGTTTAGAAAAATCATTTTAATATTTAGGAAATAATATTTTCTTTTAAATAACAAAAATGTATCGAACGTCAAGTTAGCAGATCATAATTACGTTTAATATATATTATAAACGGAATCGATTAGAAATCATTTGGGGATAATATATTTTATGATACTTTTATTTGGGAAAGTTGCTTTTTTGTCATTTAAATAAATTTATGCATTCAAAATAATGTATTATGCGTTATGCATGCGGTATAAAGGATTCAACCAGAGTTCTTTATGTGTGCTGGTCTTTAAGAGCAAGCAAAATGAACACAGGTTTAATTCTATGTAACAAGTGACGTCGTCGAAATCGACGGCGTAGATTTTATTTAACTGAATTTTTGGTAATTATTCAATTTAGTCACCTCACCTCAAATATCGATAAACTTAGGGTCAATCGACGCGTTTTTGCATAAAATTAAAGAATCTATTTAAAAAAGGTCGTTCTGCACCGCAAACCGAAATATTCACGATTAAAGTTCATTACTATTTAAGTTAGAATATCTGTTATACCGATGACACTAGCACTCTCTCTCTCTCTCTCTCTCTCTCTCTCTCTCTCTCACGCGCGCGCGCGGGGGGGGAGGTGCAAAGGGGGTCTTTGATCCCCCCTTCCGCACTCGCCCCGTCTCCCTCGCTTCGCATGGAAAGTTGCAAAGTGGAACCTCGCTTTGCGTGGAAAATTGCCCTACCGTAGGCACCCTTACCGGCGGGGTGCAAGAGAATACAACTTTCCACGCAAAGCGAGATTCCACTTTGCAACTTTCCACGCGAAGCGAGGGGAACGGGATGAGTGCAGGAGGGGGGCCGAAGGCACACCCGTGTGTGTGTGTGTGTGTAAGTGCTAGTGCCATCGGTATGACAGATATCCTAACTTAAATAGTAGTGAACTTTAATCGTGAATATTTCGATTCACGGTGCAGGGCAATGTTTTTTTTTGATAGATTCTTTAATTTTATACAAAAACACGTTACATAGAGTTAAACCTGTGTTCATTTTGCTTGCTCTTAAAGGCCAGCGCACATAAAGAACTGATTGGTTGAATATCTCTTGAATGTCCTTTATGCCGCAAACATAACGCATAATGCATTATTTTCAATGCCTAAATTTAATTACAAAGGACTCTGATTGTTGAATCCTTTATGCCGCATGCATAACGCATTATTTTGAATGCATAAATTTATTTAAATTACAAAAAAGCAACTTTCCCAAATAAAAGTATCAATGAATATATTATCCCCAAATGATTTCTCGATTCCGTTTATAATATATGTTAAACATAATTACGATCTGTTAACTTGACGTTCGATACATTTTTATTATTAAAAAGAAAATATTATTTCCTAAATATTAAAATGATTTTCCTAAACTTCCCCAAACGATTCCTAAATTATCTAATAAAAAATAATTCGAAAATATTCAATTCCTCTGCTACGGCGGTGAGTATTTACCTCTTGAATCATACTATCTTGATTGTTGGACCTTGCTAGCATTCCATCGCATCTTTCCAAAGAAACCCTCGCGGAAGCGAGGTGACTGACGGTATGCTTAGATAGAGCAACTTTGTAAATGCGCAATTTTCTCCCCCCTTGTATTCGGGAGGAGGTTTTAATGCGGATTGGACCACATTTTATCGTAACCTAGAGTAAGAATTGATAGTTAATAGAGAATTCAAAATAGTACTTATCTTTTAGTATATAAGTGTAGGATACTTATATTTAGTTTGTGATAGATGATAATACGTAGTTTTGACTTAGGGCCGCTTCGACCAAACTCCAATTAAGGGCCTCCGTACAAGGTTCCGTATCGCATTACGTTACGTTAAGTATAGATTGTAAATTTAATTCCGTACATAAACTTAAACTTTAGTCAACGCACAGAAAAAATCGTAACGTAAAGATATGTCTATACGTTACGATTTTTTCTGTGCGTTGACTAAAGTTTAAGTTTATGTACGGAATTAAATTTACAATCTATACTTAACGTAACGTAATGCGATACGGAACACCTTGGCCGGTATTTATAGTCCGATCTTATATTTGAGATCGTCTTAAGTTCGAGCTTGAAATGCTACGCAGCTATTTGATTGGTTGAAAGAGGCCTTAAGTCAACCTCGGACCAGACTTAAGATGATCTTAAATATAAGATCGGACTATGAATACCGGCTCTTGTGCGGAGGCCCTAACTCAATCGTTGATTAAAGAGTTGCCAACATAACAAAATAATTCAGTATGACCAATTGTATTTCTGATGATATACAGAGAGAAGCCCTGTATTATGTGATGTTATTAAACATATTATTATAAAATATATTTAACTACTTATTTATCTCTTTTAATATCTCAAGTAGCAAATTTTTTTAATCCTAGTGATCCCAGTGGGAGAAACGAAACGCAGCACTTATGGTGCAGTCCCATGATACGGAACGTATGCGCAATGCGGAATTGGCGGAACGAAGTTCGTCCAATCACAGACATTCCGTCAATTGCGTTCCGTTGAAATATATTTTCTTATGTCCCATGGAGCGGAAAACGCGGAAGCGCAATTGGTGTTGGCCAATCACAAGATTCTTTCCCATAGATTTTTTTGTTGTTTATATCGGAACAGCGTACATTATTAGCTCGCACAAATTACGCTTCCGTATTTTCCGCTGCATGGGACATAGGAAATACAAATTTATGCGGATCGGATTCACACATATATGTCAAAAAATTCATGAATTTCATATATAACCTTCAAAACTGACAACATCTTAATATTGAATATGGATTCTGAAAAATTGTTTATTATTATTTGTGGACTGTTAAGTAAATTAAAACAAAGTTGGTGTATATTTAAAAAGAATGAATTACGCCGTAAGATTATAAAATTATATTCATTGTATATAATTGTAAAAAGAAATGAAAATATTAAAAAACGACGAAAATATTGGATGCGACCTATATTCAGCTTAGAAAGAAGATTCCAACAAGGAGCAAGTGAGAATCTTGTAAAGGAAATGCTGATCGAAGACACAGAAAAATATATGGATTATTTTAGAATGGCACCTCAATTATTTGACGCATTATTAGCATTAGTTGGACCATTCCTTGTTAAAGAATATGTTGTTCGCGAACCAATTTCGCCTGACACTCGGCTCCAGATTACACTGCGTTATTTAGCATCAGGAGATAGTATGAAATCCCTATCATATGCTTTCAGAATTGCACATAACACAATATCAAAAATTATAAGTGAGACTTGTGAAATTATTTGGAATTGTTTAAAAGATTCAGTTTTTCTAACGGACAACGAAGAAAATTGGAAATCTGTAGCTGACGAATTTCAACAATTATGGAATTTTCCTAATTGTATAGGGGCCATCGATGGAAAACATGTTCAAATCCAGGTATATTTTAAACGGAATTCTGAGTTTATTTATATAATTTTAGAACTTTATTAATAATAGATAAAAGGCTTTGTTAAATGTAAAAAATTGTTTTATATTCAATATATAATACAAATTATGATAAAAAAACAATGTCTATATGTTCTTGTTACAGGCTCCGCCAAATAGCGGATCAATGTATTACAATTACAAAGGTCATCACAGCATTAATCTTCTTGGAATCAGCGATGCAAATTATTGCTTTACAATAGTTGACATTGGTGCCGAAGGCAGACAAAGTGACGGAGGAGTTTTCCGTAACAGCGAAATTGGGAAACGCTTTGAAGCTAATTCTTTCAAACTACCAATTCCGAGACAGATCGAAATTAATGGACCAGAATTACCATATGTATTAGTAGCGGATGAAGCTTTCCCATTATCAATGCACATAATGAGGCCATATCCGCGCAGTGGAAAACTTGATATTGGAAAAAAAATTTTTAATTATAGACTCAGCCGTGCAAGAAGAGTTGTAGAGAACGCTTTCGGCATATTAGTTGCTCGATGGAGAATATACCGAAGGTCAATTATCGCGAATGTCAGAAATGCACGTAAAATTATACAAGCAACTGTAACACTGCACAATTTTATTATTAAGAACGAAGAGAAATTAACTGGAAATAAATTATATTTGCATCTAACTCCAGATGATGCGCGTACAAGTCATGGCATTCGTAATATACCACTTTGTCGAAGCCGAGGCAATAAAAACGCTGTTGCAGTTAGAGAAGCGTATTCAACTTATTTTCAAAATGCTGGTGCATTATCTTACCAGTGGGAAAAAGCCTTGCAAAACGATTTTTAATTTATTTGTTTTAATTAATTTTTTTACTAAAAAATTATAAATAGTATTGTTATTAGTATTATAAATACAATACTGTAAATAGAGTAAGTTTGTAAGCATAAGTATACTTATAAACAAATATGATTATGAAGTAAAACTTATTTATCAGGTAATTGTGTAATGATAAAAATATTTTGTTTGAAAATAACTTTATTTAAGATTATTATAATGAAAATGTAAGCAAGAATTATTTAATACAGTTTGTCATAATAAAATAATAAATATAATAAAATATAATAAAATAACAATTTCATAATAAATCTTTTAGAATAAATCTTTTAATCCTAATATGATAAAAAATAAAATATTTTTTCATAGTTTATATTAATGTAATAAAAAATAAAATATTGATTCATAATTAATACTAATGTAACAAAAAATAAAATAACGAATAGAGATAATAATAATAATAATATATAAGCTTATACTTTATATTGGCAGATCATGCAATTTATCTTGTTCCTCCATCAACATTGCAAGAAATTTCATTTCTAATTTAGTTCGAGCTCTATAAGGCAATTTTCTTAATCCTTCGCCTAGTAACAACAAAAACCCGTCAACACCATCAGGTTCCTTAGTTTCTCTTAATGCATTTATAACAGTGTCATGAAACTCTTCGTTTAACTCTTTGTTCGATCTATCAGCTTTTCTTTCTGAAATATCATTAATTTTTTGAATATGAGATAAATTTATTAAAATTTCTAATAATTGAATACTAATAACAGGAACATACTTCTATTTGAATTAAAATTACTTTCTTCAGAACTTGATGCAATGACGCTGCTGCTTGTTAGTGGGGACACTAACATTGAAGAGTTTCTGGCTTCAACTGAGATATTTTCATCATCGTCATCATTCTGAATGCTTAATGGTAGACTAGTACTTGTTCTAGAAAGAAAAACAACACTTAGCGTTTTCGAATAAAGTCGAAAAACTCAATAACAAAATCAAGTATCAAATATTTCTGTATTTTAAATTATTAACCTTTTTCAATATTATTAAACTTACGGAGCTTTTCCCATGACGTCGTTTAAAAACTTCATCTGTTCATAAAAGCGGAAGGAATTTTTTTTACTGTTTAATGCTTCAGCAGCAGATCCACTTGGGATATAAGTATGTTCCTTTTTTTTTACCTTTAAAAAACAATCCCGTAGATATCGCCACCTTTTTTTAATTTCGGTTACACTCATTATGCCTATAAATACACATTTAAATAAAATGTTTCATGTTCAATAATATCATCATACATGGCCAAAATATAGATACTAACCTCCTAATGAGTTGCATATTTCTTGCCACAATGCATTTTTTTTTAAAGTGCTTCTTTCATTTGCTGGTATCCGATGATCGAATAATGCTCGCTTCTGCGATACATGATATATTAATAACTCATCTTTATCAATTTCTTGTGAATTATTTAATTCTTCTTGCGAATTATTTAATTCTTTATTTGGTAAAGTAAATTCATTGAACTCTTCTATGCGAGATACTAAAATAAGAGGAACAATTATAACAGTGGCAAACAGAAATTTGTCAGTATCATTGCCAGACAGTATAATTTTTCAATAAATAATTCAATAGATAATGGCATACTTTGTCAAAAAAATATGCTTCAATTACTAAAATAATACTTACTGACAGTGACTACTAAATTTTCATCCACGTTTATACAATCATTGTCCTTGTTAAATGGTTGAAAACAAGAGTGATCTAATAAATTAAAAGATTGTGGGAGAATGTATCCACAATACCCACATTTTTTATTCTATAAAATAAATAATAAACAATCATAACCACCAATATCATAACCTCCCGTATAAGTAATAAACTTATATTTTGTAAAAAAGTTGTTAAATATAATATTACAATAATATTAAATTATTAATTTAAAACTTAATGTTATTTAAAATATTTTTTAATAATATTTTTACGGATATTTGCTGTTTCGACATTTTTCATCATACACACAATTTCGAAGTTCCGCACAAAATGTGTATAAAATAGAAACTTGCGGATAGAAATCGGCGGAACAGACGTAAAACAGGTTAAACCAATCACGAGCGTTCCGCCAATTCCGCATTGCGCATATGTTCCGTATCATGGGACCGCACCATTAGAGTTTTCAATACTGCCAACTTTATCTTTTATCCCAACACCGACCAAACATATTTTCGAACGCACTATATATCGTCAAATACAATTGATCACATTGAATTATTTTGTCATGTTGGCAACCCTTTAATCAACGATTGAGTTAACTGGAGTTTGGTCGAAGTGGCTCTTAGGTCCAGTTCCACAATCCAGATATCCAGATTAATCCAGATTAATCCGAGTTTAAGTAGTGAATGGACCAATCAGGACCCAGTTTAACGTATTAAACTCGGATTAACTCGAGTTGTGGAACCGGATCTTAGTGTACTTACCTCCGCTGCACACGACTCCTGTCGTTGGAGCATTGTGCGTAAGAGATCATCGCACCTTGTTAATGCAACCCGTGCCGAGGAGAGACGTGTTACCGTGTCCCGTGGTAATCCCACCTTGTACACACGGATCTTCTTTCCTCGTTGAATCCGTGACGTCACCTTGACGCGAACTACCTGTGACTGCATTCTGGCTGTAACGAATATACGTATTTTGAACATAATAATGTCTATAATTCAGGGTTGGAAAGTTACTTTATAAAAGTAATTAGTTACAGTTACAGTTTCTTTACTGAAAAATGTAATTAGTTACAGTTACAAGTTACCAGTCCTAAAAAGTAAGGGTGCAGTCCCATTAAGCACGGATCAGAATGACGAATCAGATTTTTCACTAGAATTGAGCGGTTCGTTCCGTAATAATTTTCTCTACCAGTCCCATGTAACAAAAACGGAACGGAATCTGGTTACAAAATATATTTCATTCTTACAATTCAGAGTACTCACAACAATGTTATCGGCAAAATAATAGCACAAATTACATATGTTATTGCTTCAGCCGCATCAAAATAACGAAATATCGATGAATCAAGTACATTTACTTGTGACCGATGCGAAATTCCGTTCCGTTTTTGCTACATGGGACTGGTAGAGAAAACTATTACGGAACGAAACTGGAATGGACCGCTCAATTCTAGTGAAAAATCCGATCCGTCATTCCGATCACAGTTCTATAAGGTATTAATTTAATTTTCTGGCAAATTCTGGAATAGATTTTACTTTATAAAAGAAATATATATTTTTTTTTATCAAAAATCATCAAATAAAAACAATTTTTATTTAATGTGAAAGAAAACTTATAAAAATATAATTTTATTGCCACTGTATCGCTCTTATAATTTTATTATTTGAAGGATTAGATACTATGTGTTACATGTATAAAATACATATATAAAATAAACATATATATAATTAAATTTTTATTTTTTAATTATATTTTATTATATATATATATATATATATATATATATTTTTTTTTTTTTTTTTTTTTTACTTTAATTTCATGTTACTGATTATTCGTGATGTGTAATGACGAATCATATATATATAAGTTAAACGACGTTGGTAGAAATAGACATGAATGATATATTTGCAACCGCGTTAAACATCACAGAAATTACATAAATTGCATAATATAATATTATTGCTATATAAGAAAATTTTCTCCAAGCAAATTAAACATACTGTCATTATTCTTTTATTATTTTATACAAGCTCTATATAAAAATCATGTTTCCTTAAATTTATATAGGCACACATATTCATACATACATATGCGTGCACATATCACGCACAATTTATATATCTCGTTGTTCTTTAAATTACTCTACAAACATAAAAAATGTTCTTTATACATTAAACTTTAATAGCTTTGGGATGGCGATTCTAACAATCTTTTTCCGAAGAAAAGTTAGCATTAATATGTATAGATGTAACGTGACTGTTAGTTTTTTTCGTGAACTCTATCGTCGAATTCACACAATCGAGATACATATATATAATCTTTACACGCGATATTGGAAATTGAGTTTCGCGATAAGTGTCTCCCATCTTAAGCGTATGTCAATTATTAACATACATATGAACATTTAAATATACTATTAGATTCAGATATAAAAATGAGTATTAAAACTGGCTTTCATAGGAATACACGTATCAAATCTCACAATTTTGCAAGCATTCCCAGGTAGCAAGCACACGTCATTTTGACGTTCCAAACTGGTCATTTTTGGTCATATGTCGTCAAAATGACTGATTTGTACATGACTTTATATTGACGTTTTGATATAACATTATTTTGAGTCATTTTTCAGTCATGAAGTGACGATTATTTTATTATTAATATCATCGACCACATAAAAAAATCTTTTAAAATTTTTTATATAACATAACTTTCGCGATCAGACTTTAACAATTGTTAAAGTAAAATTCACTGTAAAACCAGTAAATTTCAATGTAAAACCAATAATCGCTAGTTCGTTCGTTTACCGCTTTGAGCGCTATCTCTCTCTCGTATTTAGTTTTAGAGTTTTATGAGCATTATATGAAGTTTGCAAAGAATGACAGATAAAATTAAAAATATTACTTCGATTTAATTTCTTATACAATCTCAATAGAGAGGCTTCAGATATTAAATCGATTTTATAAGTCGGACCAATAAATGTCTGGATACTTAATGAAAATTATTTATTCGTTATTTATTTAAAATAACAAGTTCAATATACATGTAATATAAATAAAATAAAATTTTTAATATAATAAATATTTAGTAATATAAATTTTTAATTTATTTAGTAATATAAATAAAATTGTTAATTTTATATATATTTATGTATATTTATATATATTTATTTTTATATTTATTATATTTATATTATATTTATGAAATAAATAGAGAGATGAATTGTAGTTTAATATTAGTGGAAATAACGAAAGAAATATTACTGAGATATCACTGATTGAAATTATTAACTGATCAAAATTATTAACTCTTCTTTTAATTTCTTTTAATAAAATTTCACTGATTTAGAGTGCTGTACTTATAACTGCTGTAATCAGTGACTAATCATTTATTGTTTTTTAATGATAATGCACTGATTCACTTTTAGACAATGCTTTATTCGACAACATTATTAAATATATTATTATGCTAAGAAAAAGACGTCAAAATATAGTACACATTTTATGACCTCAAAATGCGGTACATGTCATGACGTCAAGAATCTGTGACATTAGACCGTCACTTTTACGTCATAAAAACGTCAATTCATGATGTTAAGAACAGTCAGTGAATGACCAATTTGAAACATCAAAATGATGTGTGCTTGCTACCTGGGCTTCTGATTTTATAGATTGTATGATACTACTTACACCATTTGATCAAGTTCATTAAGATCTCTTTATGCCACGTTTTTGTTCTGTTTGTGCATATATAGGGTGTCCCATTTTAATCGATGACCCCGAATAATTTTTTTTAATTTTGATTGTAGAAAAAAATGTTTCAGACAAAAGTTGTATATACAGGGTGCTAAAAAAGTATCGCATACGCTCAGTGCCATCCGATAGAGAATGAGAATTTAAGAAAAAATGTCTAATACTATTTTTCGATCCCATGAATAATTTCGCCGCATTGATTATTGTAAGTCAGTTAATCAGCACGGAGCTACAAGAGGAAGCCAGGGGCGAAGCGCGCAAAGTCTGCGGCACGATGGCTACCGCGCTCATATCATGCTATCGTATCGAGAGGGAAAGTGTTGCGATCTATTTATTTTACTCACTTCTTTTTGATATGAGTAACAAAATAATTTACAGGAACAATCATCACGTAAAAATTCGCGTGATTATATCACGATACAGACTTTGTTAATTTAATGAAAGAATTTATTTTTAATAAGAAAGAAGGCAAGATAATTTAATTAATATTAATAATTATTTTAGAAGACTAAGCAGACTTTACCTAAAAAATCGCTTGCGAAAATGATTGAACTATTAGCTAGGTGCTTATTTGAAAAATCAATTTATGCGCTAAACAAAATAAAACGATATAACAGATAGAAATTTACAAATAAACAATTACATAATTACAGAACTTTTACACATAAAACAAACTTACTTTATTTATTAGCAAGATGCCAGTATGTTTGCTGCAATTTTTTTTCTTATTTAATAAAGTATCAGTGCATACAATGTTATCAAAGTTTTACGTGCATTTATTTATAACGAACTTCAAATAATTGATAAAATGACAATAAATGACAAAATAAAGAAAATAAATTTATTTATTAAATAGTGATAAAGTATTTACTTTTTCTTACATTAAATGCTGAAAGTGACCACCATTAGCTTCCAAACATTTATTTGTCCTGTACGCAACACTTCCTGTGGCATTTCGTATGTGCTGCCGCTGTGTGGTAGTAAACGCTATTGCAATTTGCTCCTCCAATTCGTCCTGCGTTTCTATACGGTTAAAATAAATTCTCTCTTTCAGTGCACCCCATAAGAAAAAGTCACAAGGATTATAATCTGGTGATCTTGGTGGCCATTGCCAGAAATGTGCTCCATGACCCATCCAATTATCACCATATGTAACCCATACGGCACAGAAATATTGCAGCAACATTGCAGCAATATTTATTTGCAAAATTGCAACATTGCAGCAATGTTGCAAAATGTTGCTGCAACATTGCAGCAATATTGCAGCAACGGTAAAATGTCCGCTTGTAGCAATATTACAATACAATACTGCAGCAATATTACAATACAATACTGCAGCAATATTACAATGCAGTAGTGCAACAGTATTGCAATATAATATATGTATATATATGTATTATAATGCTTTGTATTGACGTAAGATCGCGTTGACTGAACTTGCTGCACTAGTTCAGAAGTTATCTTTTTTCTTCCAACAATGTCGAGCAAAAAAGACAACTTCTGAACTAATGCAGCGAGTTCAGTCAACGCAAACAGACCTATAAGTGGTATTTTTACATTCTAATTAAATCTATGAGATATATATATATATCTCATAGATTGTTAGAATGTGCGAGTTTGTAAATATATATTACATGCAGTATAAAAGAGAATATTTCAGAAATTAATATTTATGTATATATATGAGTTACATAAAATAAAATATACGCAACATTTAAATTTATTCTTATTATATATTGCAATAAAAAAACCAAATTATATGAGTTACATGAAATAAAATATACGCAACATTTAAATTTATTCTTATTATATATTGCAATAAAAAAATCAAATTATATAAAAATTTTATATACGAAATATGTTAATATATAACACGTTATATATTCATATATAATAATCTACGTATATAATATACACATATGTACACGCCGTACACAACATATAATATAATCATTTTTATAGACCTAATGAAAACAAAAAATTTACTTAAATTGCATTAAAGTATCTTAATCATGTAAGAACAAAAAATACATATGCGAAAATGTAATAAGCAATTTTATATGAAACAATAAACATTATATGTATGTAATTAATAATCGGTTATAGTTTTGAATAATAAAAAAATAAAGATATACATAAAAATATAAAAATAATAAAATATTTAATCGTCTTAAATTCTATATATCTTTAATATATTCTATAAACTGTGATATAAACTATATGATATATGAAATTATATATATCTTCTATGTAATATATTGCTATTACATAATATTTATAATAAAATTTTAGTATTATTTTTTGGTAATGTCGTTCTCTTCTAATTTTTTTCTTCCTGTTTTTTAGTTCTTCCTGTTCTTCTAGTTTTTATTTTTCTTCCTGAATATGTCTAAAACATTTAATAAAAAACTTAAAATTATAACTTCATTTCAAATCATATAATTATATCAAATATTTATATTTTAATTCAACATGTTTTACATTTTTTTGTCAGTGTAATACGAAATTATAACTATAAAGTCTAAAAATTTCATAAGAAAATATTTAGATAATATACAGCATTTTCTCAACATATTAAACAGAAAAAGTAACATATCTATTTGTTCAAGCTTAGTTATCGATTAAAATAAATTGATTAAAAGTAAAAATAAAAATAAAAATAAAAACTAATTAAATCAAATAATCTGATTAATCTGTAAGCAATTATGATGTTCCTAACAAATAAAATGTACATACTTCTTTTCATCTCTTTGAACTCTTACAGTAGCTTGAGACAGCCATTTAGATGTGTATTCTGCAATGTCATTATCTGTCAGATTATTATATTTTACACGAATAGCTTCTGTAATGCACATACATAAGTATTTTTTAATATAAATTGTAAATATTTTCTTATAAATATGTGTATATTTTAGACGAATTTTAAAGGAATTTCTAAATAGATACATGAATCAAGCAAGTTAATCAAAAATTATATTAAAGAGAACTTACGTATAATCATTTTAGAAAGATTTAAATCTTTGAAGCTACGCTTATTTTTTTTTCCTGTCCAGTTGAAATTTTGAGCTAAAGTGTCTGTTATTACTTTTTTCATAATATTTCGTATCATGGCATGTCCATCAACTCCACCAACAAGTTTTAAAACATTAAGCTAAAAAAATAAACAATGTTAAAAATAATATTAAATACTTTTATTGTTTAATAAATAATTAAATGACTTGTAAATACGTTAATAAATTGAGCCTTCTTTATTTTACAATTAGTAACAAAAAAATATGTCATTTATGAATTAGTGATAAGAAATGTAATCAAAAATTATTAAGCATTAAATTGTGATATAACTAACTCTATAGAAAAAAATTAACATCTATAATATAAAAATAAGAAATCTTTATCACATACAACTTTATCTTTAAATTCGATTTCCTGTAATTGATCTTCAAAGGATATTAATTCAGTAAGTGTAGAAATCGGGAAATGAATATCACATTCATCTTGACCATCATAAGAATGACAGGAAAATTGCATTTTCTCCTCTAGCATATTAATTTTGATTTCTATACCGTCTAATTTATATAATATTTTGTTCAATTTTCCTATAATCTGTTTCTTGAACTCTGGAACAAATATATATACACACATATATATATATATAATTTAATTAATGCTATTATTTGCTGCTAAATATCATACAATAATTATACATATATATACTTTATTTTTAACTACAGGGCCTTTTAGTAAAAAAAAGTAATAAATATAACAATAATTAACTTTTATAATAAATACCATAAGCAGACAAATCTTTCTCAGTATTTTCAGAAGAATCTTAAAGAATCTTTATATTATTCGTAGCAATTTGCTTGTTATTTCTATCTAAAAAATAAAAAATTAATAATTTTTGTTATAAGTCATGTATTTATAAATTTTAATTATAACTTACCATTACTGTTTGTAGGAATAATAATATTTTTTTCACGTAAAATATTTGTAATGTTTTGTATAGGCTCAATTACTTTATTAACAAAATTGCCTCTGTCAGGAAAAGGAGATTTTATGTTGTATTATATTTATTTTATTTTCTTTATTTTTTAAATAGATATCTTCTTCTAAAGAAGATGATAATATTTTTTTCTTTGCTTTTATACGTCTTTGCTTTTTATTTTGTTCTCTTAAATCATTTGAAGACATCCCAGTGTCATCTATATTTGACGTGTCTTGCGCTAGACTTAATTTTTGTAAACTTTCTTCATAAGTATCTAAATTATTAAAAACAAAAGAAAAATGTATACAATATTTATATATATTAAATGATAATTTATATAAAAAAAGTTCTCTTACTTGCTCCACCAAAAATTCTTTTTATTGGTAACTCTTCCCAATCAGATTTTTCTCGAGGCATCTCTCTTGCCAATATGGCCTTGTTAATGCGATATTTAGTTTTCATATGATTAGGCCATATACATGATAATTTATCGGCATTGCACCATTCTGAGGGTATAACTTGTAACCCGTCATGAAATTCCGCAATGATAAATTGGTACTTATCCATTTTTCTGTGATGTGAAATATTCCGTAAAACATATGTGTAGTTTACATTATTAAAAAAAAAATTATTATTTAACACAAAAATAAATTATTGAAAAAAAATTATTATATAACACACAAAAAATTATTATACAACACACATAAAAATAATTATCTATAACACATAAAAATTAATATATATAATTATATTGTATGATTAAGAGGAAATATTGCGAATGTATTTGCATGATTTCCAAAAGGAATTTTCCATGCTTTACCTAATAAATCTGTAATTGGCCATGAAAATATGCTATCATTATTTACTATCATTACTTTTATATTAAAATTACTGGATTTGTATGGTGATTCATATACATCTTTTATGTACTTAAGTTTCTTACCAATAAGCAAAAAATCTTTATTTTTTTGCACTATATTCAACATTAAAACATATTGACCGCTTTTCAAAAGACAACAATTATTATTTTGACCTTTACATTTTATATTAAACTTTTCATTTGACATCATTAAATATTGCAATTGAATATTATAATTATCTGGTACTGGACCATTGTTATGTAAATATTTATATGAATTTAATGTTTCATTATTAATACTTGACAGAAAAGAATTACAATTTTCAATTTCATTATATCTTTTATATAATTGTTGAAGCGGTTTTTCATTTTTACGTAATCGTTTTTTGATCGATGCCATATAGTTTTCAAAACGAAAAGCACTGAAATTGTCTAATGGACCATATGTTCTTACATCGGAACATATATGTAATAAATTATGTATATTATGCGACATGTATTGTTTACCATATAAAATTTCAAATGATATGACAAAATGATTTAGTAAAGATTCCGCAAAATTTATTAGTTCTTCATTTAAATTTGAACGTATAAGAATTGTGACAGCTATATGTAGAGTGAGAAAATGAAGATATATGTCTGGCTTTAATATATGTCTTAATACAATGGGTCCTGTGTATAATAAAAAATTTCTGAACTCTATTGCTTTCCATTGTTTGACATCTTTTAATGATCTGGGTTTTCTAACAAAATCGTTCGGTGTTGAATTTTTCAGCAAAATTAACAAGTGTGATATTTTATTAATAGATCTGATACTTAAGCGTACATTAAGTGGATCCTTTATCCAAAGAAGGATAATTTTTTTGACGACGCCTAAACATATAAGATGCATATAATCTAGTGGTGTGCTACTTATAGGCAAAAATCCAGGAATATTATTTAAAATAGAAAATCCAATCTGAAAATCTTGATAAGTATTAGCGGAAAATAGTTCATCTTTTCTAGAAGGAAATGTTTTTTTATATGGAAAGCAAACTCTACCATTAATATATTTCCCCTTAATCACACATTTCGTACAACTGTAAAATCCGGTATGGCCTTTTACACATAACACAAAAGATTTAGCAGGTGCGTCACAAATTAAACCAAACAATCTAATTTTGATTATGCTTTCATTATAAATATAATCATTATTAGTGAAATTAATTAAATCATCGACTAAGGCTCTCAGAAAAATATTAGAATCTGTAGGTTTTTTATAACCAAAATATGCACCAACGAGATATACTGTCTTATTGACAGTATTTGAACATAAAATGGTCCATAATGACGCTTGAGAAGATTTTGATAATGGCAAACCATCAATATTAATTAGTAAATTAACATATGTATTATTATCTTTTAATAGCATTTTCTGAATAATATCATTCAAACCAAAATATAAATATTCTCCTTCACATATTTTTGAAATATGCTGGGTTTTTCTTGGAGTTTTTAATAGTGTTCGTGCATCTGTAGGTAGATTATGCGAAGTATATTGCTTCAAAATTTTCAACAATTCATTACAAGCAGTGCGAGAAATATTGTGTGATACAGCCCATGTAGCTAATGCTTTATTTAATTCATCATCATTATTAGGTTTATGTATTTCATCATTTATAACAAAGTTATCATTATGATTATTATTATTATTATTATCATTATTAACATCTGAAGATGTAATTTTGACATGCACATTATTAATCATATCATTAACACTGTTTGTATTACATAAAGAAACTTCTTTATCAGTTGCTTTACACAATTCTACATTTGAAGTCTGTTTAGAAGAAGTATTGATAGTATGCCATTCCAAAATTTCTCTAGAAGATCCTGCAATATCTATAGCTGTTTGATTTGCAACAATCCGTCTATTGTGGCGTTTTGAAACAAGTTTTCTTTTATGTGTGTTCATATTTCTTCTACAATAAGTAAACTACACAAATTGTATTGCAAAAAATTTAAGAAGAAAACATTTAGAAAATAATTACAAGAAAATAAAACAAATATACGTATTTATATGTACATGTAAACGTATCTGAAATATAAATACTAATAAAATTAAAATATATATTTAAGTATATTTATAAAAATATATAAAAATATATAACAATATATACAATTATAGAATAAATATAAGAAATAAAATGTATAAAAGAATATATATAGAAAAATATAGAAATATATATATAGAAGGAAATGTAAGTGAATAACAAGCAGCCAAATATTTTATTAACTAGATACTACGGATTCCAAAAAGATATTGGCGATAATTTTTCGATTACGCCGGTCGAAAGAATAAAGTAAAAACTCAGCTCGATGGATCTTATTTCTCACTAAAACAATATAAGTTTCAATTTAGGTTAGGTTAAGTTAAATTAAATTGTAATTATTAAACAACCATATTCTGCTGGAAATGTAATAATGCCATTTTACATACGTGTTCCTTGCTTCGTTGCGCACTTAAAATAAAATTACTTGATTGATGTTTATTGCACTTGTCGCTAATAATCACCTATATCACCCGTGAACGAACCTCGCACTTCGCACTTTCCGAACTACACCCGCGGCGCCCGGCGCAAAATCTCTAAACAGCTGAACCATATACACACACACATACATATATATGTATTATGCGTCTATATATATATATATATATATATATATATATATATATATGTCTATAGGATAAACGTTTCAGTCTCAGCTCACGAAAGCAACAAAATATTTAAATATAAGTATAATTATTAATAATTAATAATATTATTAATAATTTTTATATTATAATTATAATAATTAATATTATATAAACTCATTCGTGTTTTATATAATAATGATAACATTAATAATTTTAAGATTGCTAAATTATAATAAAAAAATATGCAAATGCGTACACCAATTAAATTAATATATTATATTATTTTTACTATTTATAAAATTATAACAGTATATTTTCAATATTGCTGCAACATTATTACCACATTATTACAGCAATGTTCTATATTCATATTTCAGCAATATTGCTGCAATATTACATTGCAATATGCAAGATTGCAATATTGCTGCAATATTGCTGCAAGGTCCGTGTGGGAATATTTAAATATTGACGGACAGGTGCTGTTAAAATAATAAAATAATTAATTAAATAATTAAAATTAAATAATTAAAACAATGATAGAATATGTTATAAAATTCCTATTTATTTTTACTCAATTTTATAGAAAACTATGTTTCAAAATTTTTATTAAAATAAATTATGTTTCCAAATATGTTTAATAATTTATAATAATTGTAACCTGCATTGTGTGCTGGACATCCATCATGCATAAAAATGATGTTACGTCGAAATAGCGGCATATCGTCGATAGCAGCGGGAGGAAAAAGTAAATTTGGCAACTCATCGCGCAAAAATTCCAGATAATTTAGACCGTTTAATCTCTCCGGCAAGAATACTGGTCCAATCTAAGGATAATTATTTGGGCAAATAATGGGCAAATAATGGGCAAATAATTTTTCATAAAATGTACTTTTAATATTCAAATCGTGTAAGTTTTTTAAACGCGACCAGACATTATAAAAGTAAATTGTTACTAATAATTCGACTATCTCGCTGTAGCCACATTTTATTTTAAATTATTTTGTTACTTTTATCAAAAAGAAGGTGAATAAAATAAATAAATAGATCGCAAATACTTTCTCTCCGCTCGGTACGAGAGCATGGTATAAGCGCGGTAGTCGTCGCGCCACAGACTTCGCGCGCTTCGCCCCTGGCTTCCTCTTGTAGCTCCGCGCTGATTAATTGATTACAATAATTAATTGCGGCGAAATTATTCATGGGATCGAAAAATACTATTAGACATTTTTTCTTAAATTCTCCTTCTCTATCAAATGGCACTAAGCATATGCGATACTTTTTTAACACCCTGTATGTAGTACATAAAAGTATTAAGTACATATATAGTACATAAAAGTATTAAGGTAGAATAATCGAAAAATGAATATTTTATTAGGTATTTTATGGTTTATGTAAAATTAAGAAATGATTTCAAGCCTCATAACTCGAAAAGTACTCAATGAAGAAATACTTTATTATAGTGTTTTGAAAAGCTCTTGAGATAAGCTACAAGAATAAGTAATAAAAAATAGGGGGTTCCATTAAAAAAATTGAAGGTGGCCTTCATGTGACCTTCAAACAACTTTTCAAGATAAAACCAATGATACCATCTTATGTCTCCTTTCAAGCCATACAACTTTTGTCTGAAACATTTTTTCCTACAATCAAAATTAAAAAAGTTATTCGGGATCATCGATTAAAATGGGACACCCTGTATACAGGGTGTCCCATTTTAAGTGTCCATCCCAAATATCTCTCTCACTTTTTATTTTAGAGAAAAATGGTTCAGACATGTTTTGTATGGTTTGGAGGGAGCTATAAAATGGTATCATTGATTTGACCTTGAAGAGTCATTTGAAGGTCACGTGAAAGTCACTTCAATTTTTTTTTATTTTACCAGATATTTTATGATTTATGTAGAATTAAGAAATTATTCAAGTCTCATAACTCGAAAAATACTCAACGAAAAAATATTTTATTATAGTGTTTTGGAAAGCTCTCGAGGTCAGCTACAAGATTATGTAATTAAAAATAGGGGGTGCCATTTAAAAAAATTGAAGTGACCTTCACGTGACGTTCAAATGACTCTTCAAGGTCAAATCAATGGTACCATCTTATGGCCCCCTCGAAACCATACAAAACATGTCTGAACCATTTTTCTTTAAAATAAAAAATGAGAGAGATATTTGAAGTGGACACTTAAAATGGGGCACCCTGTATATTTTTTTTTGTAAATGTAGAGGAAAAAAATTCGATTTTATAACAGTAAGTTTCAGACTGTTACATAAAATTATATCTAGCATACTCATTTCATAAATGGCCTCTGTATATTTACCGAGCGTTGATCAAATATGTTAAATGATTTAATGTTTATAATTTTTATTAATAAAATTTTTTATTAATTTTTAAAAGAATTTGATACTCTATTATATTGTCATCGTGAAGATGTCCTCTTTGTGGTGTTATTACAGAGCCACCAACATTAAATATCCGTTCAACGGATGCACTACTTGGAAGTGCCGTATTATATTTAATAAAAGGTTTTTTAATTGCAGTATAATCATTTAACATACCAATGTTGCAATTACTCGATTTTAAAAATCGATATAATTCTTCTTGTACAGATTCAGCTTTTTTTATTTGCTGATCAAAAGTAGTCGTCGAGTTTTTCACAAAGATTTGGGGAACTTTCAGTAGAATGGATTCCTAATAAATCTTCTAAGTAATTTTTAGCGAGTTTCTTTTCTTCTCCATTTATCCAATTTAATTTAAATTTATGGTGCAAATAACTTGCAATAATAAGCTCTTCTTTTTCAAATAATGTGGAAAATCTAAAATTATATATGTTCAGCATTAATGAATAAATATTGTTCTTTATTTACAAAAAACAAACATATGCAAATTAATTTTAGTAAACTACCTTCGATTTAAACCTTTGATAGCTTGAATAGCTGCAATAAGTGATTCGCAATACGTAAATCCATCTTTCTGGAATTTTTCTAATTTTTCCTTTAAAGTTTCTAAGACCGATAATAAATATCCCATACCCAGATAGCCAAGCTTGATATGATATATTCAGCAAATAAATGCATCGCATGTATTATTATATATTTGCAGTATACTTGCTGACATCGAGATAGAATGCGTTACGAATGCAGCTATATGTCTGCTTCTATATGCAATTAACGAAGCAAATGGTCTGCAATATTGATATATTACGTTTTCTACATCATGTCAGCAATATGCTGACACGTTGCAATTAATTTGCTGTTATTAGCACATGAATTCATGTGAGTTCAACGTAACAGACATAATGCTGTCTCACCTGGTCTCTAGTTTGTTCAAATTAGTTGCTTCAACAATTATTGGCAACATGACAGCAACCTCATTGCATTTTGCTATCTGGGTATACATTCCTGTTTCGCTTTGCAATATATCTAAGGTTTGCGCTAAAGGTTTCATTACCTAAACCAAACAAAATGAAGAAGAAATATATATATATATATTTTACTAAACATATTATAATCATAATACATATTACAATTTCTACATATACATATATAACAATTTATCTGGAGATATACTGACAATATTCCTCTAGGAATTTAATTTCATTTTCTGTCAGTCTTTGTAAATTACAATAATCGAGACATTGATTAATTTTTTCGGGATCATTTTTTGAAAGTTACTATTTGCAGTACCGAATCATAAGTAAGTAGAGTTCCACCTACCAAGATGAAAAAAGAAAAAAGATGAAAAAAGTGTTATAAAAAATTATTTTAAAAAATACTTATTTATATGCTGAGTTGAATAAAACATAATAAAAATAGAAATGAATATCTTGATCAATGTGATTAATATTGAAAAATTATAAATATGCAACCAGGGACCCGGACCGAAAGCTTTTTTCAGTTCGGTTCCGGTTACGGTTTAATAAAATATCAAATAAGTGTTTCAGTTTCAGTTTCGGTTTCTTGACCAGTGAACAAAACCGAAACCGAAAAAATTACGGTTTTTTTTCGGTTATAGTTACTTGTACGGAAAGAGTTTAAAGTGTAATGATAAATTTAATAAAATGATTTTTTTAATATTTATTAAATTGTATATGTGCAGGTGACGAGAAATAAAAATTAAAAGTTATATTATTTAATATAATGTTTTATTTTATGCATATACATATATTTCTGAAAATATATTATAAAAAAATTAAGCATTTTTTATAATAAAATTTAGAGAGAAATTAAGTTAATTAAGGTCTTTTAACTTTTAATAAAGATAACTTAATAAAAAAATAACTTCTTCGCGATATCACGAATCAAGTGAGATCATTTCATTTGCAGCGCATTATAAATGTCAAGTTTTAAATGTTGTCATTTGCGCAACATCTGCGCAGACGAGTGTGTCGAATTGCAAATCCATTCAACGCACAGGCATACTTCAAATTAGTGTTCTATTCTATAGTGCACTCTAGACTTCTAGACAACAAAATTATTATTCAAATTACCATTCCGCTAGATTGTACTATAAAATTATCATTTGGATTAACTAGGTTCAAACCGACAGACTTATAATCGCGAATCTGATGACTTGAAACTTATAATAACTAACTAAATAGCAATACATCTATCATAAGCTTAGGATAGATGAAAAATGATAAAATCGTATCTTCAAAAGTAATTTTTATAAAAATATTTAACAAAATTTTATCTGAATTATGTAACACATTTTGATGCTACGAATTATCGTAAATAATATTGCAGTACCAATGTGTGAATAATAATGTTTGAACGAGTCCTTCGTAGAAAGAGAAAAAGAGGCAACAAATAATCGCAAAATCAACACAATAATAAGAATAAATAAACTAACTTAAAAAATAAATTCTCACTACAGACAAGTTATAAAAATCTTGGCGATATTTGCGTGCTCATCAACAAAGTTAGTATATATGCGCCGACTAAAATCGGGCTAAAATCCCAATTTTTATCGTTAATTATCTAGAATTGGCATTTTTTTAACATCTTTGGAACTACACATTCGTTTGTATTTAATGACAATGGTCTTTTTTCTTTTATATGTGATTTTCTGAAACATTTAAATTACAAATAAGAAGAAAGAACATATTATATATATATATATATATATATATATATATATATATATATATATATGTATATGTGTGTGTATTTACTTTTACATAATATTAACTATTAACAAATAAACTGAAAAAAACTTACGTCTCTTTTTCATGACAAAATATTCTGTTAGCTCTAACAAGCAATTGGTTTTCTAAAATATTTTCACCGATATTTGTCCGCAATGGAGACAAAATGAATTTTAATCCAGAGAATAATCGTTCTACACTGACTTGAGTGGCAGATACAGCTAGAACAGTCGTTGCTAATTTATATAATTCGGATTGATTTTGTTTCTTTTCATTCCAAAATTGTAATACATTTATTTTTCTATTAAGTCTTTTTTGTTCAATGTTGTATCTTTCAAGTTCAGTTTCTATTCGATACAAATCCGATTCTCTAGATGAATATGTCTTTGTTAAATTTTGCTGTCGTTCTTTGAGTTTCAAAAGATTTTCAAATTCATCATGTGTAGAAGCTGTTTCACTTGAATTTGAAGAACTTCCATTGAAATTTTCGTTTGATTCATTCATTGAATTATCATTGCGATTTAATGATATTATTTTGGCCCAAAGATGTTTTAAATGAATTTTAGCCCTTTCTAATTGTGTATTACTTAATAATACTTTGTATCGAGGATCCAAGTAAACAGCGGATAATAATATATCATTATTTATTAACTTCTGTTCGCGATATACCATTTGTTCTACGATAAAAGTAGCGAAAGGAGTTTGTACTGCCTCTGTTGCTACTTTTGTTTCAAACCAAACTCCAAAAAATTCACTTAAAGTCAATTGTTCTTTCTGAAGTTTTTTGGTACAAATTTTTGCCGGTCGCAAAGCTGTACATATCTCTTTAATTTTTGACCATTCAGTATCTTTTAGCCTTACAAAATTTTGAAATTTTGTTACAGATAGTTCTTCACAATAATCTTTTAGTAGTAACAGATTTCAAGCATATCTATAGTAGAACACCACCGAGTCGGACAATCAATTGTAGGCTTTTTCAAGTGTTGTTTCTTTATTAAATAAATAAACGTTTGAGTTCTTAATTTTTTTGCTAAATTTCTAGCTTTTAAAATTAACTGTAATATAGTCTTTGTTTTTTTTAAAGCATCATCAATTGCTAATTGTAAAGTATGAGCTGCACATCTAATACCTAAAAATTTTTATATTAAGTTAATAATAAGTATTAAATATTGATTATATTATTATTAAGAGAGAAATGATAAGTTCTGATTTAATATAGTGTAAAGTGTAAATAAAAAAAAAAGTATTATTACATATTATTACAAGTACAAGTATGTAATATTTATCATGTGCAATATATAATAAAACATTTATGTTTTATTAAAGATAAAAAGAAATTAAAATAAAACTAAGCTACGAGTTTCAAATTATTAGCAATGTAAATATAATATAAAATATAAACAATATAAAAACAAATTATATAAATATTTTTCAATAATTAAAATTTAAAATAATAGTTATTAATTTAAAAGTTCTTTACCTGTTAAAGTTAAAATATTATTTTGAAAATTAGAATTTATATCACTTTCAATATTCTCAAAAACGTTTAAGTAATCTGTTTCATCTGTTTCGTCATCTTTCTCATCTTTTTCTAAATATATATCACAATCGATGTTATTTGTATTGTCTTCAGACTCTTCAGTTTGTTCTAAAATGTTATCACAATCTTCATCTGAAGCTAATATTCTTACTGCTTTTAACATATTGGCACCGTTATCGGTTGTTATAGTATATATTTGGTCTAAAGATATATTAAAGGAAGAACATACATTTTTAATAATTGCTTTTATATATTCACCTATAATTAATAAGAAATGTTTTTATTAAAAAATATACACACATATATTGTACATATATTAATATTAAACATAACTATATAATATTGATTACCTGTATGTTTTTCTTTTAGTTCTTTTAATGCTAATGTTCTTAATATAATTTTTGAATTTTTAATGTATTGAATATTTATTCCAATAAATGATCTATCTAATCGGGTAACAGCATCGACTTTTAACGAAATTAAAATATTTTTAGTATCTTCAGATATTTCTTCTCTTATTCTATCAGCTTCTTCAAATACTTTTTTTTGTATAGATTCTGATGAAATAGAGAATTTCTGTTTATTTTTTTCTTCTATTGCATACTTAATTGGATTTATAATATTTTGAAATCCTGAATCGTTCAAAATATTGAATGGTCTTCCATTTACTGTCACCAGTTCTACGCAACTATTTTCGAGATCTTTCCTCGTCATATTTAATTTTATTGTATTTATCTCATTTATTTGTGGTTGTATTTTTTTCTGCTTTTTTTGCAATATATTATCAACTTTCTTACATTGATTTAAAGAAACTTCAAAATATTCTTCTTGGAATTCATGATTCCGCATCAAATGTTTTTTCAAATTTGTACCGTGATTACCCTTACATAACATATTTAATTAAAAATTAAAAAGAAATTAAAAATTTATAAATATATATGTTAATAAATATATAAATTATATATATATATATATATATACATATATATATATATATGTCAAAAGTTAGTTTTAATATTTCATACCTATATAAATAAGAAAATAAAAATAATACCTTTAGTGATATTTTACAAATAATACATTGTGATGTGTCTTCTACTTTATCATAAATAAAATGTTTATGTGCTTTGTTACTATGTTTTCTACCCATGATTTTTAATTTTAAAAAGAATTAATATACATATATCTTAATTTTTCAAACTGACAGATTTAAAAACTGATTTAATAAGTATATTTCGGTTTTGCATATAACACACTTCACTTCTGATTTAATGAAATAGTTTTCTTTATAAAGTTTAATTTTCTGAACCTGGAAAAATAATTATAACCTTTTAAAATCATGTCTCACTTATACATATAGTATTCTGCTATCAATTATTTTAATTTTTAATATGAAAACTTATAAACATTAATTGTAAGAATGAAATCAGATATCATAGAAAAAGTATTTCACAATAAATATAAATAATTGATTTATTACTTTAGATAAATATAAAATTGAATTAACTAACTTATGAAAATGTATATAAGACAAACTCAAAATAAATTCAATGAACAATAGATACCAAACGTGAAAGAATTGCAACAAAGCGTAACGTAATGTAATTCTGACATAAAAAGTACTAATATCTCGTACTAATATCGATATGAAATGATGCAACAGTTTATCACGTCACAACAGGTTATCCGACAAGTACTGACAACCGACATTTTTAAGCACAATGCAAAGCAATATGAGAAATACCTACTGAAGTATGAAAGATAATGATTGGCTATCATATTATTTCTTAGGGCTATGGTTACATAGCACTGCTGAGCCAATGAGCATCGAGCATTAAGTCGCCATATTGATTCAACTATAAAGAACAGATTTATACATATATAGATTAAGAACCGGAAAAAGAACCGAAAAAAACTATTAACCATAAATAATATTATTGGTTCGGTTACGATTTCGGTGTTATAAACTTTGTAAAATTTGGTTTCGGTTCCGGTACCGGTTCATCTAAAAAAAGGGTTATGGAACGGTTTTCGGTTTCAATTCCGATTCGGTCCGGGTCCCTGTATGCAACTTATTTGATCATACGATTGGTGACAGTTGTAATGCTTTTCATTATTGTGTCGAGAGAATAATATATTTGAGATATTTATATATAAGCCAAGTGATTTGTATATAAATCTCACAAATATTATTTTTCCGATACAGACGATAAAAATCGTTACGTCTATCATAAAATACGATCGAATAAATCTTATATCTTATATTTACTATCTAACACAATAAGAAATATTTTTACCCTTTTATATTAATAACAGGAGTTTTTAAATAGACGCCACAAGTTTCTTTTATTTTATCTGATATTTGTGTAGATTGATTCTGTTTATTCCATAATTTGGTTAACGTGGCAAATGTCAATCTATATAGCTTTTTTGTATTGAATATCATTATCTTTCTCAGAATCTTTTATTGCGACAAGGTTTAAAGTGTGACTCACACATGTATGATGTGGCGGAAGAGTAAGTAAACTTTCTGCATCTCTATCTTCTATATCGTCTGTAATTAAAAGATTACTTAAATCGTGAAATTCTACAGCAATTGATGTTTCATCCTCATCTTTTTCAAAAGTCCTAAAAAAATATTATTTGTATTATGTGACAAAAAGGATGTATTATGTGACAAAATGAATATTAGCGAAAGAATTATTGTATTTGTACGTGTAAAAAATGTAAATAATATACTAAATATATTTTTCTTGAAAAATTTTACCAAAAAGCTTTAACAAAATTCGTTCCATTGTCGGTAGTTGTACAGCACTTTATTTTGGATATGATATTTGAGGAAGACTGAATTAATTGCTCGAGCTAAAACATTGTATGTATATTTGCCTTTAATCCTACGGCAAACTAATGCAGCCGATTCTCTCTCGAAAGTTACAGAATTCACCCAATGAATAGTTCCCAAGTAACTCCTACAAATTTAGATTTTAATTTATAAAAAATATAAACAAATTACAATACAATGAAAAATAAAAATATAAAATGTCATTAACTTTTTTGCTTTGCTCCACAAATCTGCTGTCGTCGCAACTAGTTCAACTCTGTCAATTCTTTTTCAAGTATAGCCTTCATTTGATGATATGTTTCACAAAATTTGTCTCTTAATGTTTTTCTGCACATTATACGAATATGTAAAGGAAGTCCAATTCTAAGCAAATTAATGAATGCTGGACTGTCTACAATGGAAAGAGGTTGAATATCTTCGATAACAAAGCGTAATATAGCTTTATCTAGTGCTTTTTGAACAATTGCTGTGCTTCCAGAACCCCAGCTCTCTAATATTTGACATTTATTTGGAATGTTATTCAGAAGACCTTCACTTGGACGTTTATTTGCTAATTTCAGTTTTGCTTTATCTATGTTCTCCAACAGATGTGAGTGTTTTGCCTATTAATTTTATTTATCTGTTAATATCATATATCATACATACAGGGTTGGGAAAGTTACTTTTTAAAAGTAATTCGTTACCGTTACCGTTCTTTTTTCTAAGAAGTAACTCGTTACCGTTACTCGTTACCAATTTTCAAAAGTAACTCGTTACCGTTACCGTTACTTAAAAATAACGCGTCGTTACAATTTTCGTTACTTTTTGAATATAGGTTTGTTAAATATTACAAGGTTTATTTTAATCTTTCCTCCTGCACAAAATTTATAGACAAAGGCAAAATTTTTTTCGTTGCTAAGATTTGGTCGAAATTGAAAAACTTTAGAATATGCCGGCCATGGAATTTCACATTCCATTTCCTTTGAAGATTGAGATGTACTTGTTTCTTCCATTATTTTTTATTTTTTACTATAATCTTCAGATTAAGATACAAATATCTTTTTGAGATTGAATATCAATACGTATGCCATGTGGAAAATGACTATAATGCCGGCAAACTAAGCAGCTTATGCGAGCACGTGCTTGCACACTATTATAAGAAACAAAAGTTATTACAAAATCTCAAAGATGAGATTTTTCTCATAACATTAAGAAATATAATTCCGTCATTATAATTCCGACAAACATCTATACACTTCACAATTATTAATGTTTTAAGACTTTGAAGTTACCGACTTCGAAAAGCAAAACAAAATCTAACCTGATTTTTACATACAATGCGTTCAGTAAAACAACTGCTCGTTGTCTTATCAACACTTGTTGATTTGGTTCTAAAAGTAAGAGTCATTCACGTTCGACTGTTATTCTATGTTCCGAAATTCGTTGCCAGTATTGATGAATGCAGCTTTTGTTTACTTCTTTTTCTTTCACATGTGCCCAATGACGCGTACATATCATTCTGCATTCCACACATTTCGTTGAATAAAAATTACACAGTAAATTTGCAAAAAGTAGCGATAAAAGTAACTGTTAAATTCGTTACTCGTTACCGAAAAATGTAACGAAGTTACTTTTTTCGTTACAAACGAAATTTGTAACGTCGTTACCGTTACAGTTACCAAAAAAAGTAACTGTAACGGTAATGACGTTACAAGTAACGCGTTACTTCCCAACCCTGCATACATATATACTATACAAAAAAGAAAGAAAGAAAAAAGGAGAAAAAGAGATAAAAATAATATATCAATATAGTCTTGATATTTTAAATATGTACATAAATAATTTCATAATAAATAGAAAAATAGCATAGTAAAAATTTCTTTGGAAAGTAAAAAACATTTTTACAAAAAATCTCACGAAAAAAGTTAAAATTTATAAGGCTAATATTGTGTTAACATTTGTTTCCATTAAAAAAGAGAATTTTCATGCATATTTTTCCAAATTATAAAATAAAATAGAATAATAAAAAAGAAATAAAAAAGAATAAAATTATAACTTAGATAATTTCTAAGTATCTAAATTGAAAAGAACTGTTAAATGCATTCAAATCATGCAATATTTTTGGTACCTACTTTTTTATACATTTTTAAATTTAAGTTTGAATGTTATACAATTATGTATTGTTTCTTAATATTATTATGTATCGTTTCTTGAAAATCTAAAAATTTAAAATTAAAAATTTTAAAAATTAAAATTAAAAAAAAAGAGTAAATAATTAAAAATATAACTTTCTAATGTTATTATTTAATTTTATTGTAATTTATAATATATATTAATTTATTTAATATTAATTTATTTTAATTATTTATTTAATATTGGTTTTTATGTAAAAAAGTTTTCATGAAATACATTCTTT